ATCAATAAATACAGACTTCACCTGGGCCATTACCTCTGGGTCTGGCTCATGTAAAGGTTCAGAAAAGGCTACTTTGGCAGTTCTCTCAGGATGGCCAAAAATAACATCAGGCTTTTGAAGCCTCTTATATGCAAGTATAGCATCAGCATGACGAGAGAACTCAAGGAATGCAAAACCACGACTCAACCCTTCATATTGGGCATCTGGGACAAGAGTAATGTGCTCAACACCTTCAATGCCATAGTCTTTAAGTTTTTGTTTGATCTGCTCACACAGTATATATAGAATGAGCAAGTAATCTTGCTAAAGGTCCATCTACTAAGGTAAGTAAAATCTTACAGCTTCCTTTGTCCAAGCATTGCAAATATTTCCCAAGAACAATGAATCATTGTCCTCACTTGGTGCAGTCCCACATCGCTTCCCACATATCTGTGAACAAAAGGATCAGAATGTACTGGCATTGGAAAAAGAAACAACGTGACTAAGAGAATATCCATACAATAGGGGTTCTCATTTCTGACAAAGCTCGGCGCGCTTGCTCCTTAGTTGAAAACTTCACAAACGCATAGCCCTTATTCTTGTCAGTCAAAGGATTCTTGTGCAACCTAACTTCAACTACCTCTCCAATCTTTTCAAAAGCCTTTTTCACATCCTCTTCCACCACATCACGATCCAACCCACCAACAAATATCTCAAGCTCTTTCCTAATCTTACGCTCTTTTGCTGCAGCGGTTAATTCCATGTGTTCCTCTTCTAATGACTTTGCTCCTTCGCCTTGCTCTAGCATGTCGTCCTCTACAAGCTCTTCCTCACCAAATTCTTTAAGATCCAATCGGTCACTGCATTCCTCCATCCTATCCTCAACATTGTATTCATCACCCTATTTAGTATCTTCTCCTTTCAACTCATTATTAATATCTTCCCCTGTGTTGGCAGACACATGTTTTATTTCCACTTTATCGTCATTAGTTTTCGTATGCTCCTTCATATCTTCCTTCACCTTATTTTCCTCTCTTGCCATATCAGGTTCTTGATTCTCTAAGGACTCCCCGACATCTACAGCAATAGGATTTTCCAGACTTGTAGGTTTTCCAACATTTGGAACCAAAGGCAGTTCTGCTTCAATTCTCTTTCCTTTGTCCTTTGGGAGTTCTTCAACATTCACAACATCCTGATCCTCCTTCCTTTTGTCTCCTTCAACATTTTCAACACTGTGTTCTTCCTTCTCCAAAGATTCTCCAACACCAAAAATATTGAATTCTTCCTTCTTTGCAGAATCTACATCCCTAGCATCCCCAATCACTTCCTTCTCCACCGATTCTTCAACATTCGACTTTCCAGTTTCCCCTGACTTAGGTTTCTGCCTACAAACAGCTTTTGCTGAAGTAGGAGTTTTGGTTCTAACCACTACTTTCCTTACTACAGTTTTCCTTACTTCAGCTACTTTTGTTTTCGGTGTCAACACAACAGAATCATCCGATGCTCTAGGTTGTTCAACTAAAATCAAATAAGACCAATTACCTCAAACACACACATAAACACAATCACACTCTAATACCTATACATATGCAATGCTTTGTGCATGTATAAATATGAATCTATATGTCCACGCCCTAATTCAGTTTCAAAACAAGGCAAGCGAATCCAATCATACTTGAATATGCTCTTCTTCTTTTCTTTTTTTTTTTCTTTTTCCTTTTTTTTTTGTTGATAACACATTAGTTTGATTCCAAATAACATAGATATTACAATGACACTCAACCCATAGACCCTGAGGATCCACATAATAGCTTCAAAGAAGTGATACCAAAGCGAGAGGCTTGAACGAAACATTGCACCTAGCCTAGTAAGATTAATCTTTCATAATACTAAAGCTTGGCGAAACTCGAATTACTTACTAGCAAAATTGATTTACTCGTTTCACTGCCAAACTCAATATTAGCATAAAAAAAAAAAAGAAAAAAAAAATACAGCACAAACATAATCACATATATTAGCCTCGTTTGGGAAGTGACTATTTTAGTAGGTTATTTGGTTTTTTGACTATTTTAGTAGGCTATTTTAGTTTTGTGTTTGAGAAGATGAGATGAATTTTTAATTGAGTTCTTGTATTGGAAAGTGTGTTGAAATGATGTTTAAATTTAAAATGACAAATTTGCCCCTAACTTTTTATTTTTTAAATTGATATAAAAGGGCAAAATGGTAATTTTGCCGTTGATGTACCAATTTCCGGCTGTGACAATGTAGGCACTGTCCAGCGCAGAGCCTATTTTTTTTTTTTTCTTTTGTTTTGTTTTGAAAAACTATGAACAGTGCCGCTTTTTTGCTTATTTCTCATTTTAGGCTATATTAGCCTCACCCACCTCTTCCCAAACGGCGTGTAATAAAATGGGTAGATTACACTAACACTCTGAGATTTATATTTATCACAGTTCTTCCTCACCTTTTAGAAATTATACCTTCCCCCTGAGATTTAAAGTTTCATTATAAATTCTCCTTAGCAATTTAATTTTTTTAAATACCAATTTTGCTCTCACTTGGTAACTTACATTGACACCCCTCACATTTTAAAAATTACAATCTCCTCCCCTAAGATTTAAAGTAGCATTAGCAATTGCCCCCTCTGTTAGTATTATTTGGAAAAAAAGTTCATTGAAAAAAAAATTAATTGAAAAAAAATTATTTGAAAAAAAAATTAATGGAATAAAAATTTTGCTAGTAAATTTTTAAAATTTCTGTTTAAAAACCAACGTAAACTCATTTTTTGAATTTACATTTTTTTTTCAAGTTTACAAACTGAGACAATCATTTATAAATCAAAAAATTATCAAACAAGTTTTTATGACAGTTTTTAAAAATTTTTTAAATATAAATTGAAAACTAAAAACGAAATGTTTACCAAACAAATTTCAAATGATAAAAATGTCGTAAAATTAATAAATAATTAAATAAGTTACCAACGTGAGAAATGACTTATTAGAAGATTCTTATGTATGATTTGATTTTTAGAATTTTTGTAAAAAAATTAAAAATTAATTTGGTTAAGAAATAAAAAATAAAAAATAATTATCATTTTTATATAATTTTTATCTTTCAAATGGTTAGAAATATTTTTTTACAAATTAAATTGAAACAGCCATACGTATATATATAACCTACCCAAAAATTAAAATGATAATTATTTTTTAAACTTAAATGATAATTATTTTTTATTTTTTATTTCTTAACCAAATTAATTTTTAATTTTTTAAAAAAAATTCTAAAAATCAAACTATACATAGTCTAAGAATTTTTTGATAAGTCATTTTTTACGTTGGTAACTTATTTAATTATTTGTTAATTTTACGACATTTTTACCATCTGAGACCTGTTTGATAACCATTTCGTTTGCAGTTCTTAATTTATATTTACAAAAATTTTAAAAATTGTCATAAAAATTTGTTTGATAATTTTTTTGGTTTATAAATTATTGTCTCAGTTTGTAAATTTGAGGAAAAAACGTAAATTCAAAAAATGAGTTTACATTGATTTTTAAACAGAAATTTAAAATTTTACTAACAAAAATTTTTTTTTCAAATAATTTTTTTTTTCCCAATTTTTTTTTTTTAAATAATTTTTTTTTTCAATGAATTTTTTTTTCAACTAATACTAACTAAGGGGACAATTGGTAATACTATTTTAAATCTTGGGGAGGTGATTGTAATTTAAAAAATGTGAGGAGTATCAATGTAATTTATTCAATGAGGACAAAATTAATATTTAAAAAAATTAAATTGTTAAGAGAAACTATAAGGAAAATGTAATTTTGAAAAGACGGGGAGAACTATGATAAATATAAACGTCATGGTGTGAGTGTAATTTACCCTAATAAAATTAAGCCAAGAAATCAAATTCTACCAGGCTGTTCAAGTTCGAATTAGCTCTGGTTTTGGGCGTAGCCGTTCTGTCCCGGAGTCCGGTGGTGGATTCGGAGAGGTACTCGTGGCAGATTTTCTGGCCAGTGGAGTCTTTTTTGCCGCGGCCGATTTGGGGGTTGCGGCATTTCGAGGCTTCATGATGATTTTTAAACAAACAAATACTTAAAATCTACACAACACCAATGAACCTCAAGTCTGAAAACCCCAGTATTATACCCTTGTATTATACTAGTATTAAGCTTTTGTTTTGGTGTTCTTCGCCTTATTGGCGGGCAGCAGCCTTGTGTCACGGACTTGGTTGTTTCCATGCTAACCGTGCGGCACTTAGACAATATCAAGTCTCACTTGATGATGCTAAGTCAGCCTAACTCACACACTTGTAGGAAAGAGAAGTTTAGAAGAGCACAAGAGAGTTTGAGAGAATGCCTTTGTATTCACACTTGGTTGGATCTACTTGGGTGGTTTGGCCAAATGAAGGCCTCCCCCTTTTACTACATCTAGTAGACTATTCTAGAATATACAAGTGTTATGTACAAGCTTCTAGTGTTAAGTACAATTCTCTACAATATTCTAGGAAGTTCTAGAGTCTTCTAGGCAATTCTCCTGTAATCTTTCTTCTTGTAGCCATTCTAGAGAGTTCCAGAACCCTCTAGCATCTCTTCATACTTTCTCAAGTCTTCCAGGAGCTTCTAGAGTATTCCATTGGCCATTCTTCCTTGAGAATTCCTTTTTGTAGGCTATTTTGCCTTGGTAATTCAGCGGGGCGTGACACTTGCCTTAATTGCCCGCCAGACCTCAACCTATTCCGCTGTCAATTTTTTTTTTCCAGTAATGAACGGAATAGTACAATTCCCCCCCCCCTGTTTTTTTTTTTTTTTTTTTCCAAAAATGAAGATCTCTTCCTTTATCTGCTGGTTTATTTTTACTTATCTGTTGGTTTATTCCTACCATAAATAATATTAATGTATATATAGTATATATTAAGTATTGATTTTCTAAATATATTAGGTATCGCTATAGTTTAGATATTCTTTTTCATGGTTAGGTTCTGAGTAAATACTCTTTCTCGACCATATATAGCACAATTGAATTTAATACAATTCAAATCAATACATATCATTTCCCATCTCATACTACTATTCTAACACCTAGAAATGGCTAATCTACACAACACCGATGAATCTGAAGTCTGAAAACCCTAGAATTTGCCTCAGCAGTCGAGAGAGAGAGATTTGTTCGTTTGTTTCACTTTCTGTTCCAGAAAGAAAGATATAAAGCCAAATGGGTGGCTGGCATTTATACATTGGGAATCCAAGTTACGAAACGGGAACGTTTACACAATTTAAACACTTGCACGGCGTCGTATTAGTCCTCCACATAGAAAGTACAAAACAGTTTTAGAATTTCCCATCAACTACTACGATTCCGATTTTGCTTTGGCTCTGTTTTGCAATGGGTTCATCAGAATCAACCCTTTTAAGCTCAAAGGTTGTCTCTTTTCGATTCATGTTCAATTTTCTGTGTGTTTTTCAAAACAATTATTTCTTTACTTGATAAATTTGCCAATATTGTTGTTGTAAAAACTTTTGCATTTTATTTTATGTACGTCAAGGGGGCGGTTGATGAGATCACCACTGTCTCTGAGCGATTCCAAGGCGCAGATCCCATCCTAGAGAGGCTCAGATCCCTCAAAATTGTGAGTCTTTCTCTTCATCACCTCCTTCTAGGGTTTTGCATTTCTCATTGTTTTGGCTTTTTCTCAATTTTTGTTGTTTTACTTATGTGTGTGTATATATACTTGAGGTGGGTGAAAACACAATTCGTTTGCAATTTGTAGTTAAATTTTTGGACTGTTAATGATTGAATTGAGGGACAGTTTGATGAATGAGGAAAACTGTTTAGCAGTTTTAGACAGTTTGATAAATAAGAAAAATTGTTTAGCATGTGAAAATTACTGATGTAAAGCGCATTCTTGAAAGAATAAAACCATGACAGAATTTACACCAAATCAGTTGTACACTTTATATAAGAATAGATATATAGGCACTAGAGATCATGGGCACATGCAATACGTGATCATAATACAAATAGGGTTGGGAATTTGATAGATTAAAGTAGTTACATAAATTGAGAAGTTGAATGATTTCCAATGTGTGAATTTTTTGCAATTTTGCCTTGACAGGACGCACAAAAGTTTTTCAAACTGTTTTTTGTTGGATAATTTTGAAATTGAAAAAAAAAGTTATACACTTTCACTTTGTTGTTTGCACCAAGCAAACTGAATTGCTGGCTTTATAAGTTTTATATATGTATACATGTATTTGTTTCTTAATGCAGGCAACTCCCATACTGACGGCATTGCCAACCGAGACTAGCTTGACAGATATGCTAGTGAGGAAACCTTCATCCTCTTCTGCTGCTTCCGGTGATATTTTCTTTCTTTTTGAAAATTTGAATAACTCTGCACATTTGATTTGGGAGTTGAAACTCAATGTTGTTTGATGGTGGAATTTGGGAATTTGGAAGTTCTTACACATTTTACAGAGAAATGTATAAAATATAACAGAACAAATCACCAGATTTAAGTAATTTTGGAGTATTATTCATACCTCCTTTGAATTAAGTCCATTTCAATCTGAGGTTTTGTTAAGTTCAATTGAGTTTTGCAAGGGTCCTTCAATGCGCTAGCACTTTTAGTTCTCAATTGCTAAGATATAGTTCTGGCTTGAGAACTACTAATTCTCTTTCAACGAACACTGTTGGAGAACTGAGAGGTCACTGCTTTTGGTCAAGAGCCAGCTTTCACTGGTGTCCTTTGGCCTCTTTTTAGCTCTTTCTGCTTCTGACCCTGCCCTTACCTTATAACTGCTTCTGGCCCTGCCGTTTTCTGTTTTCTTTTCTTATTTTCCGAAAATACAGATAAAACCTCACTTTCATCTCACATGTCTCCATGTGGTTTTTTATTTTTATTTTTAATGTGCATCGAATTAAACACATGCTTCACAACCGCTTGTATGGGCCCCCGTCAATTCCTGAGTTTCATCCTTTCAAACTTACTCCTATGTGTGAACTATTCATTCATCTTATTCATACATAAAGAGAATGGGATGGAAGTATTAGTCTGCCGCAACAGATTTACGGTGCATATTCGTATGAGATATCAACATGCACAAGTCAAACATCTGACCTGTTCTTTTTCAATAAAGCGGGGGTTTGGCATTAATTAATTTGGCCGTGCTTGTTTTTTGTGTACCCAAGATCTATTCTTGTATTTGTTTCTTTATTCACACCATTTTTTGTATTTAATGCATCTCATTTAATTACAGAAAGTGTTTGATGAGCCAATTATTGGCATTCTGCTTCCTATGGATGAAATAGGTACAGTAAATCCAAAAGTACTGCTGGAGCTCTTCTCAGTGCACCGTGATTGGCAGGAGGCAAAGGCCCAGAAGATTAGTAAGAAACAGGTTTGGTTGAGAATTAAAAAAAAAAAAAAAAATCATGTGTTTGCAACACTGCAGTGAGCATATTTATGAGTTCTATTTGGACAAGGCATGGATTACATAGATCTGCAGCTGATTCTCCTAAATCCCTCTCTGGATTTATTTTTTTGTACAATTGCATTGATCTCGATTTGAGTCATGGTTTAAAAATTGGGATCCAGATCTTCTGAGTAGCATAGAACTCTTATGCAAGCTGGACCACATTTATTATAAAAAAAGGTTCTTGAAATAATATATTAAAGTTTTTATTTAATCACAGTAGCAAGAATCCACCAATGAAAGTGTTTGCACTGGTTAATTATTTTTTGTGTTTGAAAACTTGTTGCCATTGTTACAAGAAAGATGAATTTGACTTGCTTTCCAATCCCATCCTATTCTTTTTTAAAAAATAAAAAAATTTGTATATATTTGTAATGCGTCTTAACTTAGTTATAATTGCTGCAGGAAGAAATAGAAAACAAGATAGAAGTTGCAGATGCTTTGGTGGTTAAACTTCTTCAACGTCTTAATTATTCAGTCTCGACAATGAAGGCTTCTTCACATCATCTATCAGAAGGTGACTGATGTTCTTATCTAGACTTTTCAATAACTAAGTTTCAAAAAAAAAAAAAAAAAAGGAAAAAAGAAAGAAAAGCACTATCCAGTCTCGGGTTGCAAATAATCAATTTGAGATGAGAAGCGGCTTACCATCCCAAATGTGTTGTGGAATTCAGTTGATAAGCAATAACTGTACAATTAAGAAAGCTTGACCCTGAAGAGTTTGGTGGTAGTCACAATGGCAAATCCAGATGAAAAGATTTGTCAAATTGAACCATTAGTTTGCAAAAATCTGCTGATGTGTTATGAATGCTTAGTATAAATAGACTTTAGTATTATTAAAATTGTTATTTAACTTTATTTCAAAAAATTGCATGCAGTTCATGCATTGAAAGTTGAACTTGGGGAGCTGAAGGGAAGGTTGACTGAGGTGATTAGTAACTGTGATGCATTATGCAGGAGAATCAACTCAGAGGGACCAGAATCACTCAGATCATCTGTCAAGCCATTTTCATCAGTGACCCCTACTGACTTAGAAACCAGCTCTAGTTTGCCTCATCTACCATTGAAGCCAAGTTAAGACTAATGTGCACACTTTTTCTTTTGGGCCAAGCTTCTCTCCGGTCTAAACTGATTCTTTAATATCATTATCACATTTGTCTTCAAAAAACTAGATGATGAGTATGATTTTGAAAATGGATGGTTCATTTTCGAATACAAATATGATGAAATCAGGTGGGAGTCAATTCCATCAACATGGGCATGTCATCAAAATGAGACCTGTGGTAAGTCCACAATTTTGAACTGCACAGAGAATTCATCTCCCTTTTTTTTTCCCTCTCCCATGTAAATTTTTCCAAGAATTGACAATCATAATTGTGAAAATTGAGATTACAGATCCTGGCTGGCTAGTGCAGTTTGTTTCTTCATGCATCTCTGACTAATTCTTCTCCACATTTCACCTTTTCAGTAAAATTTGCCCAGTTCTTATGTTAATGTGATTGTTTCACTTTCTGTTTACAAAGATTTACATTGTGTTTAGATCATGAATTTGAATAGGAATTTAAAAAGGAAAAGAGAAAGTGTAAGTAAAATGTTAATGAAATATAACTATATTTCACGTATTTTTGATCCACTCTTTCTTTTTTTAAATCTCTACCAAAATTCATGATCCAAACACTGCTTCAAGACCCACCAAGTATGACTCCAAGCCCACCGACCAAAGCTAGTGGTCACGGGATTGAAACAAGTATACTTGTTTCTCTATCCCAATGAAAAACTGAAAGAACTTTGCCGGGAGGAGGAGGGTGTCAACGAGGTGGCGGAAGAGAGGTTGGTGTAGTGGAGCTTCTTGTGATTCAGTGGCATCAGCGATTAGCTGCCAGAGATGGTGGTTGATGTGGATAGTGTGTTGTTCTCGGATGACATTGTGAATCAATCTGTTTGGTAAACTATTTTTTATTTTATTTTTAAATATCTCATTTTTTAAGAAATGTTCAAAATATTTTGAAATTATTTTCTTACAAAAATTAAAATAAAAATACAATCAAACATGTTTGTTTTTCTAAATAATTTTCTGCCTAATCATACGGTATCGCTTCATCTCAGGTTAGGCTGAACTAACTCCATGTTCTAAGGCATGGCCAAGTGATATCTCTCAAAAGTTATGATTGATGAATATGATGAAGTCTACTTCTTGTTGCTAATTGATGAGACAACACGGGAGTAATAATTTATTATTAATTTGTGTGGCATGGTTTACGTGCTGCCCAACTGAATAAATTTTCCTATCAATTCTTCAGTCATTCACAATGAGTATGAGAGTGGTGATCAATATTGAATTTTATCAACAAAATAAAATAAAATTTTAATATTGAACCAAGACTTTAGATTTAATAGTTGTGGAACACAACTTCATAATGTGAGCTTGCAGGCTCAAACTCTACTAACATCTAACAACTAGCCCCATACTGTTTAATATTAGATATAAAATTATAAATAAAAAAAATTGAAAATTTTCGTACTACATGTGCATGAGAAACTCCAAAATTTCACTGTTTCTATTTTAATAATGTGTGACTTAAATTTTGAAATTCTAGTTTGTATTTTGAGTAACTGCAAAATTTCAGTTTCCATGCAAAAAAGTGAAATTTCAAAGTTACATAGCAGGAAATTATTTTATAGAAACTGCAAAATCTTTCAATTTTTATGGTTGGGATATGAGTTACAGTTGGGAGGCATGTCCTGATCAAGACAAAATAGCTGTGATCAAATCTAGTGTATACAACCTCCAATTATGGGTTTAGGGTTTATGGCACGTAGAATTTGACTCAGCAAGTGTATACAACCCTAATGGAGACAATATCAGTGGCAGCATGTAGAACCAATCAAAGGCCAGTTACAGGAAAAACTATTGTCGATTATCCCGGCTGATGCCCATGCAAAACCATGCTAACGCAACAATAACGCCAAAGTCCATTAAGATGTCAACAGTCCCTCGTCCATGAGAGAATAGATATTGCAGAATTTGACTCGGCAAACACCCACCCCTCTCAGAAGAACCTACTGAAATGCAGGTTCTCCCCCAATTCAAAAACACATGTTCATCAATTTCTTACATGTTACACACTATCTCCCAGTCATCCAATCCCAAAGGGAAGTCATATTTAGATGCTTCCCTAAAGCCTTATTTCACTGCTTATGGTGGTATCAATGTACAAATTCATCCAAAATCACGAAGTCACAGAGACTGAAGAGAACTTTTACACAAACACCGCTCACATTTCCACCATGCTAGTTGTCGTGGGGTTCACTATGTATAGAGACATATAGAAATAGAGATATATTCATTATACCAGGGATCAAATTGAAAATCATCAAGTAAATCCCAATCTTCCAACTCAATACAGGTAAATCACTAAATTCAGAATTCCTCAGAACAATTCAAATAATCCCAAAGCACAGAGATCAGTGGTATTAATGTCGAAGATTGCATCCCTAATCAGAAGAGAAAATCCTATTTGCAACCAGTGCTTTGAGAAAACACACACACACACACAAAACATTCTTGATGGTTAAATCAACCGGTTCTCATGATGATGTGGGTGCCACTATCGGTATCCACAATGTCACTTATCTCACCAACTTTCAGTGCATATGTTGCTTCTTCAAAAGGTTTTTGCATCTGACCCTTTCCAAATGGACCTGCATGTATATTTTTATTAGTTCAATGCAAGCGGAACGATTCCACCCCTTCAAGAAAATATAAAGTAAAAATAAGAAAAAAACACGCACACACTGGAGATATAATGTGGAATACAAGTCATCTTCATGCTATAATGTGGATTTTTTTCCTTTGAAAAGTTTACATGCACAATGCAGATAATAAAAACATACAAAACAATTTAATTGTATTCTCTAAAAAAAAGAGAGAGAAAGAAAGAAAGAAAGAAATGAAGATAACTGAAGTAAAAGGGGGCGACATGGTGGGGATCCTTCACCATGATGATGCCTACAACATAATTTCTAAGTATATGTCTTTGTATGCTAGGGTTCAAGTCGCACAACAATGTTCTGTAAGATATGTATATTGATATACGCACACTATTTGAGATAGATTCTACACAAATTTTGAATATGGACACGAAGAAGCAAAAGATCAGATTGAGGACTTGACTCGCCATCAAAGTGTGCTTTATTTTTAGCTCTTTACTCTATTTCAAAAAATCACTGCTATCATATGCCAGATTACATACAACTTATAGCTGTGACAAATATTTTCAGGCAATGCGACAAATATTATCCCCCTAACAGCTGAGAAGTAAATGCAAGAAAAAATGGATTCATTTCTAACAAGACCCAAAAGAGGTAAAAAAATAAAAAAAAATTAATTAATTAATTTAAAAAAAAAAAAAAAACAGCTGCATTAAATCACTATAAACGTTCATTAAATTCACAGCCTGGGCAGAGCACCAAAATACGCATCATGCCACAGGCTTGATGAGGGAATAAGAAGTTCCAGGGCCTCTGAATACAATAATCTATTTACCCTGGCAGTTCTTAAGCAAACCCATTCAGATATCATCAATATATACAAATATACACATTAGATTGAGAGTCTCAGAGGGGTACAAATATATTGATAAGTAGGTATCATCTACCATTAGAGAGAATTTAAAGATCTATTACTCTTATTCAACACTTGCAGGCACGTTTATAATTACAATTTATCCTTGAACGGATTAAAAAACCAACAAGATGGCACTTCCATGACAGTATTCTAATGCATCACCACTGTAAGACATGGAAAACCATATTATCATTCCATGGAACTCAATAAAATACAAGAACATATATAATCTACTTTTTCAATTCATAGAAAAATCGTTTTCTGGGATTCGGAAAAAGAAAATCTCCACTTAACTGAGCATATGGCAAAGTTAATTGAGACGATCAACAGACCATTTTTTTTTTTTCTTTGATATGTAGGGTATCCTGGCCCACTTGCATGCACTAGACTAAGTCACAGCAGCACGAACAAACCTTCTAAAACAGATTTATTTCCTCCAGTTCGTGGCCCCAAGAGTTTGCTGGCGAGGGGAGTCAAACCTGAGACCTTAGAGGGAGCAAACCCCCAAGTTTCTGGCTTCATCCACCAGGCCAAACCATTGGGATTGAGACGATCAACAGACTATTACTTCTTCTTCTTTTTTTTTTTTCCCCAAATTTTCCTCTTTGATGCCAAATTAGCAGGATCCACAAACTCAATGGCTCCTCCGTTTGGTTTGGTTTTCAGAATCTGTTTTCTAATTTTTAATTTTTATTTAAAAAACAAAAACTAAAACTAAAACCTAATTTGGTGAAAAAAAACGAAAAAATCACTATCATTCATATGATTTTATCTTTTTGGAGGACGGAAACAATTTTAAAAATTTGTAAAAAAAATTTATTGTATTTTTGTCAAACTAGTTTTTATTCTTTTCACCCACCCAAAAATAAATAAAAAAAACGAAAATGAAACCTGAGCAATCAAACAGAAGGTAAAGTAAATTGAATTCGAGCAAAAAAAGACATACAAACCAAATAGCAACGCAGTATCAAACAAAGATACGAAAAGCAAAATTGAATGACAAGAGAAGAACTGACCGAGATCGCCGCCGCGTTTGGCGGAGCTGCAGTCGGAGAAACGAGAGGCGACGTCATCGAACTTGGATTTGCCGGAGACGATGTCGTCGCGGAGGGATTTGAGCTGAGAGACGGCGGCGTCTCTGGTGGTGTTGGTGATGATCCGACCTTCTGGATCCTTCCAGGAAGCTTTGCGTCGGGAGCCTTGGTGCTTGATCAGTATGTGCGAAGCCCTAACTTTATCCGAGGACGATGATGACGACGACATTTTGTTCTTCTTCTTGTTCTTGTCCTTTCGATCTGCTGTCGAGATCGAACAAGACTTCTTCCTCTTTCGATCCGACTCTATCTTTGCTGGTGAAATTTAGAGAGAGCCAGAGCGAGAGCGAGCAGAGAACACTTGCGTTTGGTAGCTCTGAGCTTTATATAGGGGTACGACTGTTGGTGTACGATACTGTTCCTGTATTTATCATTTTTGCTAAGTAAAATGGAATTATTATTCTATAATAATTTTTTTAATATCTTACACACCTCTTAGTTTTTTTAAAAAAAATTATTACAGATAAATATTTTTGATTTTTAAATGGGGTGAGAAGGTGAGATGGAATAGGACTAAGGTTTTTATAAAGGTTAATTACATAAGATACTTTGATAATAGAAATGTTTAATTGTACATTTTTATAATTCAAAGGATAAAATGATATTTCTGATAGTTTAAAGAGTAAATTAATATTTTATTCTAATTCGTGGAGATAAAATGATACAAGGAGGGTAAGACATTTTAGTAATTAAACTTGTTCTGTTGCAGCTAAAAAAAATTAAAAAAATTACACTTAAAAAAAAATTAAGCTTGTTTCATTGACGTTATTAAGAAATTTTACAATATTAATAATTTATAAAGTCAACTTGTATCTATACTTTTATACTATATATTAAGCAAAAGGGGATTTTTAACCTCAAATCTTGTGAGAGCTCCAATCTCCTAATCTAAATTTCTTGATTTTTTTATTTTTTTTAAAAAAAGCTTAGCATTTATTAACTTCTCACAACCCTAAAGTTTTACCTTCATAATAACACTTTAATGTATTAAAAACAAGCATAAAAAAAATTCTTTGAAATCCAACACATGAATTTCTTAAAAAATTCCAACACATATGATTATTATCCCTCATAATAACACTTTAATGCATTAAGAACCAGCATAAAAAAAATTTCTTAAAAAGTCCAATACATATGATTATTATCAAAATATTAAACTTTAATATAATATAATTAAAAAAAAAGACATTTAATTCCTTGGAAAGTCTAACACATATGATTATTATCAAAATATTAAACTTTAATATAATATAAAAAAAGAAAAAAAAAACATTTAAAAATTGCAATTCACATATATAGATAATTGGACTTTTTAAGAAATTTTTTTATGCTTGTTCTTAATGCATTAAAATGTTATTATGAGGGATAATAATCATATGTGTTGAGACTTTTTAAGGAATTCATTTGTGTTGGATTTCAAAGAATTTTTTTTATGCTTGTTCTTAATGCATTAAAGTGTTATTATGAGGGTAAGACTTGGGAGTTGGGGGAAGTTAATAAATGCTAATTTTTTTTTTAAAATAAAAAAATCAAAAAATTTAGATTGGGAGATTGGAACTCCCACAAGGTTTGGAGTTAAAAACCCCTTTTTACTTAATATATAATATAGATTGTAAATACAATCTGTACATAGCACGGGTGATATGCTAGTACTTTTTAATTCAAAGGTTAAAATGATATTTGATAATAATTTAAGAATGCCCACATAAATAATACCCTTCTAATTACTTTCAATATTAACAATGTCTTTAACGGTAATTGTCATCATTAACCTTGTTGTAATGATTCTATTTGGAGCAGTTCAATACAATGAGCTATTTTGTCTATTAGAAATATATATATATATATATATATATATCTATGGGGGCCGATTATTGGGAGTCATAGAGATTCCGGATAATCAAACCTGGGAGAGTCGATATTCCGAAACACTCGGCAAAGGGCTCGAAAGCTCAAATCCAACCCCACTCGGCCAAATGACTGATCGAGCAAGGGGCCGAGTGAAGATCGGACAGTCATAAAATGTGCCGAATACGAGGTGGGAAAAGGATCTAATCCCGAGGCCTAAAGAAGAAAAGATATAAATAGGAAAAACATCAGCCAGAAAGAGGTATGTGAGAATTACTATGCTTAACTTAGAATACAAGCATCCTTGAGTGTAGATACTAACTTGCCTGTTGGAGTGCTACTTCCGGCACCCCCGACCGGAGTGTTTATTCTCTTTCAGGTGACCAGAAGAGGATTACGAGCGTTTCCTAGGATCAAAAGAGTATTTCCAAACCACTTCCCCACAATTGGTGCCGTCTGTGGGAATACTCAAGCACATCCATGGCGAGCGTGACGAAAGATCCTCCGACAGTCACTATCAACCCCATACCTCAAGATGAAACCGCTCCAACAAACTTTCTTGGAACAGAGGCTATCATCGCAAGACGTGCCCTGAACTTCGCCTCACCCTCGACTTCGGAGCATGAGATAATGCGGGCGATCATAGAACAAGCAAAGCAAAACGAACAGAGGTTGGAAAGCATGATCGCTCAGAACGAACATCTTTGTAAAGATTTGGCCTTGGAAATGGCGAAGTCTGCGCAAGCTAGGCGCCTAAATCCGGAACGATCTTCAAAAGCAGATGGTTGACGATCTCGAGCCCGACAACAAGATACTGATAGCAACTCTAACTCATTATCCTTGAGGCCCAAGAAGAAGGGACGATCTGCAATTTCAAGTTCTCCTGAAGAGAGTCCCCGTACAAGGCCCAAGCGAAGAAGAAACAGCTCGGATGACGATCAACACGATCCTTCTGTACGACGGATTTCAAGGGCGGTGCTATCCTAGAAATTCATAGCACCGTCATTCACCTTGCATAACGGGAAATTGGCACAAGATGGCCGGCTACAACAGTACGTCCGAAAAGGCAACCCAGCCAAAGCAATAGCCTCGACTCAAGATTCACATTTGCTCCGCGCGATCTACATGATACACAGCCTGCCGATCTCATCAGAGGTACACGCGATTCAGTCGAAGTGTAACCATCACGAGCAACTCACTCCGGCTAAACGGCCCTTTGAAGCCGAGGTTATCACTTTCGATGATTCAGATTTGGCCGGAGTAACACTGCCCCACATTGATCCCTTGGTAATCAAGTTACGCGTAAACTGATTCACAGTTGAGTGTGTACTCATCGATCCGGGGAGCACTTCGGAGATTATGTACTACAAGACATTCACCAAACTTGGCTTCTCCGAATCGGATCTCTCCCCAGCCCCTTATCCACTATTCGGCTTTAATGCCAATCCGGAATACCCATTGGAAAAAATCTAACTTCCTGTTCGAGCAGGTTCCCGAACAGTGGATGTGGGATTCTTGGTCGTTAAGCTGCCATCGCCGTATAATCTCATCATGGGACGGTCCTGGTTGCATACTATGCGAGCCGTGCCCAGCACCTATCATCAACTGCTTCGCTTCCCGACAGAACGCGGCATTGAGCAAATCCGTGGCTCCCAGAAATCGACAAAAGCATGTTACCTCCTTGCGGAGAAAACGCTAAAGGCACTACAAGTGAATTCCATTAAGTTACCAGATCGAGAAAGCCTCGATGATGTTAGGCGGCTCCCAAATGAAAAAGCAACGGAAGACTTAAAACAAGTTCAAATTGATGGAAGCCCAGACAAGTTCTTCATGGTCGGCGCCTCCTTGAAACAGGCCGACCGACAACAGCTAATATCTTTCCTACTGAGCAACCTCGATGTCTTTGCATGGACTCCGTACGAGATGCCAGGTATAGATCCATCAATTTCATAGCACTATTTGAATGTCGATCCTAAGTGCAAGCCGATCATTTAGAAAAGTCGACGGTCAGCCGCAGAGCACACTACCGTCGTTGTTGAGGAGGTCGACAGGCTGCTCGACGCCAGAGCAATTAGGGAGGTGACCTACCTTACATGGCTCTCTAATACAGTGGTGGTATAGAAGAAAAATGGGACTTGGCAAGTGTGCGTCGACTTCACGGACCTAAACAAAGCCTGCCCAAATGATTACTCTCTTCCCAGAATAGACCAGCTTGTAGATGCTACGGCGCGTCATCAACGTATGAGTTTCCTTAACGCCTATAGAGGTTATCATCAAATCGCCATGCATCCGGAGGACCAAGAGAAAACTGCATTCCTCACCTTAAGAGAAACCTATTGCTATAAGGTAATGCCTTTTGGGTTGAAGAATACAGGGGCAACCTACCAGAGACTGGTCACCACCATGTTCAAAGAAAAACTCGGCAAAACGATGGAAGTGTACATCGACGATATGGTGGTCAAGTCCAAAGAAGAGCAAAATCATATAGCCGATCTGGAAGAGACGTTCGACATCCTACGCAAATATGGAATGAAGTTGAACGCTTCCAAATGTGCAATTGGTATCGGCTCTGGCAAATTCTTGGGCTACATTGTTAACTACAGAGGAATCGAAGCCAACCCAAGGCAAATCACAGCAATCCTGGAGCTCGGCTCCCCTCGTTCAGTAAAGGAGGTCCAAAAGTTGATGGGGATGGCTGCTGCACTGAACAGGTTTATCAGCCGGTCCACATACCGCTGCCGACAATTCTTTCATACACTATAGCAGGGCAAGGCCTTTGAATGGTCCGTCGATTGCAAAACCGCTTTCAACGGCCTGAAGACCTACCTCCACTCAGTACCACTCCTAACAACACCCTTTGCTGGCAACCCACTCATTCTGTACCTGGCAGTTGTTGACCGAGTCGTCAGCGCCGTATTGATAAAGGAAGAGCTGGGGGAGCAATGGCCAGTGTATTATGTGAGCAAGGCAATGGTTGACGTCGAAACATGCTACATTTCGCTGGAAAATCTCATCTTAGCCCTAGTTATGGCGGCAAGGAAGCTCATGCATTACTTCCAGGGGCATAGCATTGGGGTACTAACAGATTACCCCCTCCGATCAGTACTACGCAGTGCGGAAGCATCCGGACGTGTTTCAAAGTGGGCTCTGGAACTTGGCCAATACGATATTCAATTTCTACCTAGAACTGCAATCAAGGGACAGGTGCTTGCCGACTTTATCACTGAATTCACTGGGGGCCTTGCCGACTTCAAGTCTAATGTTGCCGACTTTAAGACAGATGAGATTCAACCGAAACCGGACTGGAGGATTTATGTCGGGGACATCTGGCAGTTGTATTGTGATGGATCGTCCAATTAGCGGGGCAGTGGAGCTGGAGTTGTAATCATGACCCCCGACCGCGCAATAATTGAGCAGGCTGTGAGGCTTGGCTTCGAAGCATCGAATAACGAAGCCGAATACGAAGCCT